AAACATATTTCAATCAAGCAGTCAGACGGTAACATTTTTACGATCCAATTGTAATGTGTATGCGCGCCATTAGCAGTGGCGTTACAAAGCCAGAGACTCCTCTTTGAGGTGGAAGTGGAAAAGTCATCCCGCTAATTCCCGATACCTATTATGTATCATCTGCAGCCCGGAGTGGCAATAAAAAAGGAATCTCAGCTTATTCTGTGTCGTAGATTTACTGGAACTTTTAATTCCGGGGAGCTTCACATTTTATTGTCGGTATATGAAATAAAATGATCTGCGCGGTGGTACGGAGGCCTGTTCCGGGTCAGATTTATTGTACTTGTAAATTCTGCGGCATTGCAATGATATAAATTATGAATATTTTATGGAGGGTTGTGAGCTCGGGATGAGGCTCTGCAGATGTTGCCGCTTTAGATTACGATGATGCTGCAAAGGTGTAAAAAAAATAAAATGTCTCATATTGTGTGCCAGAGGAGCCTCAGACAGAGCTTCATAGAGGAAGAATGGAAATGTTTCTTAAAGGTCATAACATTGGCTAGGACAGTTCCTTGAAGTGTATGTTTGTTCATTTTGGGTAGCGTGGGGAAGTGTTATTACTTCTGTCAGGTTTGGTTTTGCTCTGGAACAAGTAGAAACAAGATAGACAGTAGTGTTGAGGTGGGATTAGGAGTTTCTGTATTTGATGATGACACCACATTATGCAAGGAAATCATTCGGCGCAGGATGTAGGAACGTTACAGGCAGGGATGGAGTTACTCTCCCTGCTGCCCCAAGGCGAGGTTCCACAATGCGCCCCCCTCCCTGCCAACCCCCCCTATCAATGAAGAATTGCAAACGGATGGCAGGGGTGGCAGGGTTAGTTTACATTTTTTTTTTCATTATCATTTTTTTTTTTTTACTTTTGTTTGATTTTTATTTATCTTATCGTTTCCTTTTTTTTTTATTTTTTAAAAATTTGGCGTCGGGGGATTCCACATCGCTGCCCCCCCCTCCGCTCCCTGCCGCCCCGAGGCCTGGCCTCAGTGGCCTTGTGGGGAATCCGGGCCTGGTTACAGGAAGATCTTGATAAGTTGGGCGGAGACTTGGCAGATGAGGTTTAACGTTATGCATTTGGGTGCTAAGAATTTGCATGCAAAATGCTCATTAGGAGGAGCTTCTCAATCAGTGATAGAAGAAGATTTGGGGTTCCTTGTAGACCATAGTCTTTACTATAGCACGCCATCCTTGGTTGGAGCTAACAAAGTCAATGGAATACCCTCATACATTAAAGGGGGTAATTATTGGAGGGATAAAGTGATACTCTCACTGCTGTACAAGAGGTTGGTCCGGCCTCTTCTTGAGTATGTGGTCCAGTTTGGGTCACCAGCCAACAGAAGTAATGTACAAGAATTGGAAAGAGTTCAGTAAAGGACAACACAATAAATAACGAGGATGGAGGACCTCAACCATGAAGAACAGAGAAGGAAATTCTCCTTAGAGAAGAGGCGCTTAGGAGGAGACACAATCGCTATCTATACATCAATCAATGGTGAGTGTAGCGACGGGAATAAACTGTTTAATCAGCGGTCCCTGATGAGGACGTGCAGCCTGAGGTTGGAGATGTAATCTGAAATGAATGTGAAGGAGGTTTCATCCGAAATGATGGAGGTTTGTGGCCGAGCCGGGAATTGCTCAGCGTTGTGGTGAAGACAACAGAACACCGAGCAATTCAAAACAGTGAGGCTAAAAGCATGTGTAGCGATAACTCCCCGCAGGGAGCCGCTGATTGCCCGTTCCTCATCTAGCCAGTCAAGGGGTTGATTTCCAGCCGCAGCCATTAGCACTAACCGCCCATAAATTGATGTCCACTCCAGTGATATGATGCTAATTGAAGTTTATTGAACATATTTTGTGTGAGAGAGGGTATAGGGTCTAGGTCAGTGATGGCGAACCTTGGCACTCCAGCTGTTTTGGAACTACAAGTCCCATGAGGCATTGCAAGGCTCCGACAGCCACAGACATCACTCCCAGAGGCAGATGCATGTTGGGATATGTAGTTTTGGCACAGCTGGAGTGCCAAGGTTCGCCACCATTGGTCTAGGTGCACAGGCCTTCTTAGCTCCAGACTCACCAGATCTTATCTTCAAGGGAATACACATCCACAATCCATGAAAGAACACCGACCCCGCTCTGAAGTCCACATAAACCCAAGGCACTTCAAGAGCCCGCACTGGTCCTGGTTCTTCCATCTGTCAGGCATTCTCCAGGTTGGAAGCCTCCAAGGTAACCTCTCCTTCAGCAACTCAGCCAATGCCCACCCCCCCCAGGCCTCGGCCTAGCCTGGGGGCAGGCCGAACAGGACCCAACCTTAATCCAGGGCTGGTCCAGGCAAGAGAGCTAGCACATGGCACCCCCACCCATATATGCACACTTTGTCAGCAGGCCACACTGGCTGAAACAAGCCCAGTGGTTGGCTGCTGTATTGTACACATATTACAGTGTCTCCTATTGGCTGTCCCCCAATATGAGTCTCACTCCGCCCAGGGGGGGTACAGACAAGGTTAGACACCTGGGATTTAACCATATAGTTGCTGCTACAAATCCAGCCAGGCTGTCTACTGCCCTGGCATATCACTAAATGCATGGTAGTCACATCACAAAATGTGATGGGTGCTACACATGTGAGGAGGAAGTAGGAGGAGCGACACGCCTTGCTGTGATTGGACGGCGGCGGTTTGCTACAGTCCGCCCCCAGGTGAGTCGATTACAAAGAGCTGAAGGTGGCTGTTAGGTTCACGGTGTGGGCCCGAGATGATGAGGAGGACCTCCCTTGCAACCCTGTCTGATGAGCACTGGGGCTGAAAACAGTGTGTGTCAGGCAGGGGGTGCACGGGTGCCGGATCGGGATACCAGGTATCGGCAGTAGGTGAAGTGCAGGCAAAGCAGGCAGCCGTGCAGGATACTGGTGTTCCCTCACCTCCCGATCTACTGAGCCGACCTGTGACAGTCTCATTGTCACAGGTCGGCTAGAACCATGAGGCACTATGAGGCACTCACCTCATAGTTCTCCTTTAAGGGAACGTGACACTGTGGCACTGAACAATCGGCTTTGCGATGATCTAATGATAGACATTTAAATTTCTGGAGCTATAACTTGTAAAATTGCGCAGGGTTCGGAAATATGTAAATTTAACGATATATTTATGTGTTACACAAGCTTTAGTCTAGTTGGATTTATTAATTTGATTTTTAGGTGCAGCGGTTTCCGAGGTCCTCTTTTGATCACACCCCTTTTATATCATTTTGCTTTGTGGGGGTCGGCTTACAAGCTGCACTGTGTTGACAGAACTTTTTTGAACAATCAGAATTTTTGGGGGGGTTATTTTTTTTCCTCTCTCACTAGAGAGATTTCCTTTCACTTCCTGTTCTAAAGATGTAACAGAAAATTAGAGGAAATCTCTTCAAAGTCAAGGGAATTCCCATTTTGCACAGAACAGGTGTCCCCATTGGAGGAATCACCTTCTATTCATGCTCTGGTGACATCTAGAGATGAGCCTGGGTGGCACTGGTGATGTAGCCTTCTCATGATGCATCTGTGAGGACAGGTCTACATGACCAGTGCCTCACTCACCCAGGAAGTGGAAAAACAGTAATTGTAAGAGCAAAAAATGTTTGTTTAACTAAAGAATGTAAATTGATTTAATGTTAGCACGCAGAGCTGCATGTTGCGGTGATTTTTAGTGAAAGGACATGCGTCTTGCTGTTGGAACACTGATGTGAAGGTGCAGCTATGTCAGGTGCTGCGTAAATTCTTGGTGCTGTATAAATAGCTGTAATAAATAACTCATTGCTACACTTCTGCAGAACCTCCTCCTCCTCCTACAGTACTTACCTGTATCCCCATGCCTCCCGTGCACTTCGTGCCCGCCTCCAGCCTCTGGGTAGGAATGACTCCAGTGCACCCAGTGGCTCTAAAAACACACTCCTAGTCCAGGTGTCACCTGGTGACTCCAGTGCACCCATTCATTTCAAGTGCTCTCCCAGTTCATGTGACTCTACTTCACCCAGTGACTCCAAGTGCTCTCCCAGTTCATGTGACTCTACTTCCCCCAGTGACTCCAAGTGCTCTCCCACTTCATTTGTCATCTAGTGACTCCAGTGTGCCCAGTGACTCCAAATGTACTCCAAGCCCACATGTCAACTATTAACTCCAGTGCGCCCAGTGACTTCAAGTACTCTCCCAGTTCCCATGTCACCTAATGCCTCCAGTGCGCCCAGTGACTTCAAGTACTCTCCCAGTTCCCATGTCACCTAATGCCTCCAGTGCGCCCAGTGACTTCAAGTACTCTCCCAGTTCCCATGTCACCTAATGCCTCCAGTGCGCCCAGTGACTTCAAGTACTCTCCCAGCTCCCATGTCACCTAATGCCTCCAGTGCACCCAGTGACTCCAAATGCACTCCAAGCCCACGTGTCAACTATTAACCCCAGTGCGCCCAGTGACTTCAAGTGCTCTACAAATCCATAGGTTATCCAATGGCCCCAAGAGTGTTTGTGCCTTCAAATGTGCTCTTGTGTACTTCTGGGACACCTGTGTCCCCTTGCAGTCTCTGATATGTTTCATAATCTGGATTTTCCTATTCTCAGTGGATGGGGACCTCTGTGACAAAAAAGTGACAAAATACTGTGAAAAAGTTGTGTCACAGGGGAATGCTAAACCCGTGTAGGCAGCTTAGGTCATCACGAGAGAACTTTGTATGAACCTCCTCTATGTTTGGTGATATGGAGATCCTTTGCGTGAAGCTAATGACATTTTTTTGCTGTTTCGTTTCCCAAGGTGGTTGGACTTCTTGGACCTCCTGGGGGGACTGTAACAGGGACTGCGGGGGCGGGCTCCAGACAAGAACTAGGTCGTGCCAATCTGTCCCTGAAGAGGGCCACATCTGTGAAGGAGTCCTAGAGGAGGGCCGGCTCTGCAACAGGAAAGCCTGCAGTGGTAAGTGCTTATTGAGTAATAGAATGTTGTATTATATTGTATTCATCTAAATGTTAATTGTCATTTATTCTAGGGAATAGATTATATGTTGGTGACTATAGCTTGTGAGAGATGTTTAGCAGTCAGTGGCCATATTTGCCCTATTGGGTTTAAGGGTGGCCCTGTAATGCTATAAATGGGGCTAGCTGTTCACATATTCTCTTTCAAACCATGGGGAATCAGGTTGGTATATAGAAATATACTGTTTGATGGCAACCTAGTAAGTACAAGCTATTGTTTTGTGTATCTGCTGGGTACAATATCCATTTCCCTGGATGAGGGAGGCTTGTTCTGTGTAGTAAGTGCCAAACAGGCTAAGGAAGGGTTTCTCAACACGGGTAGCATGAGAGGCCTTCAGGAGTCCTCTGCTGTTGCTGTGGGTTTATTTCTTCCCAACTGTGGCTTCACTTTTTCTTATGCAGCTTCCACTAATAGTTTCAGGTCCGGGCTGTCTGGATCTAGGAAGTCTTCAGCAAGCACTGACGGGGTGAGCCTACAGACCGGACTCCCCGGGGATCTAGAAAGCCTTCAGGCAGCATAGGCAGGGTGAGCCTACAGACCGGACTCCCCGGGATCTAGAAAGCCTTCAGCCAGCATTGACAGGGTGGGCCTACGGACCAGGCTCCCTGGGGATCTAGAAAGCCTTCAGCCACCATAGGCAGGGTGAGCCTACAGACCGGGCTCCCGGGATCTAGAAAACCTTCAGCCAGCATTGACAGGGTGGGCCTACGGACCAGGCTTCCTGGGGATCTAATTGGCCAGTGCTGGCAGGGTGGGTCTACAGACCAGGCTCCCTGGGGATCTAGAAAGCCTTCAGCCAGCATAGGCAGGGTGGGCCTACAGACCGGGCTCCCCAGGGATCTAGAAAGGCTTCAGCCAGCATAGGCAGGGTGGGCCTACAGACCGGACTCCCTGGGGTTTAAGAAAGCCTTCAGCAAGCACTGACAGGGTGGGCCTACAGACCGGGCTCCCTAGGGCTCTAGGAAGCCTTCAGCCAGCATAGGCAGGGTGGGCCTACAGACCAGGCTTCCTGGGGATCTAATAGGCCATTGGCCAGTGCTGGCAGGGTGGGCCTACAGACCAGGCTCCCTGGGGATCTAATAGGCCATTGGCCAGTGCTGGCAAGGTGGGCCTACAGACCAGGCTCCCTGGGGATCTAATAGGCCATTGGCCAGTGCTGGCAGGGAGGGGCTACAAACTGCCAGCTTTAGAGTATAGTAAGTGGATGGATGTGTGTGGATGCGAACCAAGGAGAACGTATCATCCCCACCCTGTCAGCACTGGCCAATGGCTTTTTTTCTGAGGGTGCTTGGCCACCTGGAGGAGATCTACAGCCTCGTCAAGTACAAGATGGGTGGCTGCCAGGTAGCAAAGCCCAAAATGGAGCAGGCAAGTAGCACAGCACCCTGTTCTTTCCTGGAAAACCAAGTACAGGCAACAAGCCTACTATCAATGCAACATGTACATGGCAGACATTATCTCTGCTCATCAGATATCCATGGCCTGCTTTCTATATGGTGGCACCACACAGTCACTGTCCTTTAATCCTCTATCAGTGCCAGTGTATAGATCAGGTCTGGGCTGAATGAAGGCAGCGGGGGCTTATCAAAGCAGTCATAAAAGGAAATGATTTCACCTTTTTATATGAGGTTTTTGGTCTGGTCACATGACCAGATTCTTGCCTTGCAGGAGGTGAGGTGACCATGTTCTTCTTGGCTGCCTCCTGAGAGTGATATCATAGAAGTCAATGTTCCCCCGTTTCTCCAAGTGTCTTCTCAGTTAGCTTATATCTCGTGTGAGAGAGGCAGGGCATGGGCAAGGCATGGGCAGTGCATGGGCAAGGCATGGGCAGTGCATGGGCAAGGCATGGGCAGTGCATGGGCAGGGCATGGGCCAGTACTGGGGGTGTTCTTCAGCACTGCAAAGTCCTTTCACAATTCACATTGATATGAACTCAAGTGCAGCAGGAACTTTCTTGATGGATGGGTAATAGTGCCAGGGGAATATTCAGCATCATCATGAACAGCCATGGTTGGCCGGATCACCAGAAGGGCTCACAGGAGGTGAAAAATAATTTTGGGTGAAGTGATTGCAAATGTTTTTGTGTAACTCAGCGGAGTCAATGATTCTCCTGACTCCTCCCTTCTCAATGATGCTGTTAGACATTAGAGTTGAAATTCAGATGGCTTTAGATTCTGATTAAATCTCATGAACCAGATGTCCCAAACCAGATCCAGGGTGTAGTGTTATCTTTGGCAGCTCACATTCATGGAAGAAAGAGACCAAAGCCTGCTCCAAGGACGGGTTATTATTATTTATTATTATACAGGATTTATATGGCGCCAACAGTTTGCGCAGCGCTGTACAATATAAGGAAGACATTATAATCACAATACGAAACAAGACAAGATGGTAAGGAGGGCCCCGCCCCTGAGGGATAGGCTTCCCTGACTAGATGAGTCTTAAAGTAACATTAAAGGAGAACTATGAGGTCAGGGCTTTTCCCCATAGTTCTCCTAAGGGTAACGGGAGGACACAAACTAGCGTCCTCCCGTCACCCTAAGCTCAGTATATAGGGAGCTACAGCCCGCGGTATACTGAGACGCCGCAGCTGAAACGGATCCCGACAATTGTGCCGGGATCCGCCCAGCTGCGTGACCGACAGCTGGCTCCGCCTATCTAGAGGCAGAGCCAGCTTCCAAGTGTCTTCTCAGTTAGCTTATATCTCGTGTGAGAGAGGCAGGGCATGGGCAAGGCATGGGCAGTGCATGGGCAAGGCATGGGCAGTGCATGGGCAAGGCATGGGCAGTGCATGGGCAGGGCATGGGCCAGTACTGGGGGTGTTCTTCAGCACTGCAAAGTCCTTTCACAATTCACATTGATATGAACTCAAGTGCAGCAGGAACTTTCTTGATGGATGGGTAATAGTGCCAGGGGAATATTCAGCATCATCATGAACAGCCATGGTTGGCCGGATCACCAGAAGGGCTCACAGGAGGTGAAAAATAATTTTGGGTGAAGTGATTGCAAATGTTTTTGTGTAACTCAGCGGAGTCAATGATTCTCCTGACTCCTCCCTTCTCAATGATGCTGTTAGACATTAGAGTTGAAATTCAGATGGCTTTAGATTCTGATTAAATCTCATGAACCAGATGTCCCAAACCAGATCCAGGGTGTAGTGTTATCTTTGGCAGCTCACATTCATGGAAGAAAGAGACCAAAGCCTGCTCCAAGGACGGGTTATTATTATTTATTATTATACAGGATTTATATGGCGCCAACAGTTTGCGCAGCGCTGTACAATATAAGGAAGACATTATAATCACAATACGAAACAAGACAAGATGGTAAGGAGGGCCCCGCCCCTGAGGGATAGGCTTCCCTGACTAGATGAGTCTTAAAGTAACATTAAAGGAGAACTATGAGGTCAGGGCTTTTCCCCATAGTTCTCCTAAGGGTAACGGGAGGACACAAACTAGCGTCCTCCCGTCACCCTAAGCTCAGTATATAGGGAGCTACAGCCCGCGGTATACTGAGACGCCGCAGCTGAAACGGATCCCGACAATTGTGCCGGGATCCGCCCAGCTGCGTGACCGACAGCTGGCTCCGCCTATCTAGAGGCAGAGCCAGCTGTACCCGCCCCCTCCCCCGTCCGTTCCGCCAGTCAGCGTGAGTGACAGTCACGGCTCTCTGCAGGGAGATGATCGAGAGGGGAGCGAGCGACGGTATGTGTTCGCTCACTTCTCGATCTATTGAGCCGACCGGTGACAGTCTCATTGTCACACGTCGGCTCAGATTATGAGTGAAAATCACCCGCCTCATAGTTCTCCTATAATGAGTGACCGAAACGGTGACCGAGGCGTTCGCGTGGGAAGTGACTGGAGCCGTGTCGGATGAAATGACTTCGTGCATTTTTTTTTTTTTTACCTCTTCCATCATTAAAAATGACTTTGTAATCAGCGCCCTCCTCTCAGGTACCTCTGGACCCGCTCGCTATCATTTAGCAGACGGGAAGTCGTCAAGTTTATATCCCGTAAAAGCGCGTCACGGAGGAACGAGATCGACCGCAATTCAAATGAGTTTTATTCCCTTTGCTGGGTTGTGCCGATAA